ATCCTTGTTATAAGACATGATGACGTCACGTATAAAAAACCATTTCAAACTTAAAATTGCACCCGCAAAACACAATAATAGGCCAATTTTGTCACTTTTGTTCAAAATTTTGAAATAAACATCTTTGTTAAGAGTATACATGATGACGTCACCTGCAGACCGAACAAAAACCGTTTGAAATTAAAAAATGCACCCGTAATTTTGTCATTTTTAATCAAAATTTTGAAATAAATATACTTGTTACAAGGCCACCTTACATGATGACGTCACCTGCAGACCTAACAAAAACTGTTTAAATCCCAAAATGCAATGGGGTGAGTAAACTTAATTTAATTTTTATTGGAAACGGCAAATCCAGAACACTTAAGCTTGTTCGATATCAAACAAGGAGTATGTTCAATGTGTTCCAGAACACTGCATATTTTCATTGTGAACTAGTTCGGATTGCGAACGAGTTCGGAACAGGTTGTTGGTTTTTAGAACAGATAGAACCAATTTGGAACTGATTCAATTCAAATTGGTATAGTACTTATAGGCCGGTAGAGATAAAATTCAATGGTAAAACCAACTAAGAAGCCACCGCGTGATCTTTTGGCTCACTTCAAAAGGGAGGGGCCCTAAAGAAAAGGGGGAAAAGGGTATTTGCCTTCTTCGTCGGTGATGACGTCAGGGGTTCTTCTCATTTGTCAGTGTTTTTTTAAATTTTTTTTTGAAAAATAAAATCGATATTACGATTGAAAAGTGACCAAATTGATCTGTCACTGTGTTTTGCGGGTGCATTTTCAGTTAAAAACACTATTTGTTAGGTCTGATGGTGACGTCATCGTGTCTTGTAACAAGTCAGTTGAAATAACATCGAAGTAAACTATTTTCCGTGTCTTTTCCTTTTAATAAGAACAAGGATAAAAGTACAAAAAAAAAAAAAAAACTAGCGACCAAGTACTCTAACTTGCTCTGAGTTGTTCAGGAGCTTTATTCTTGACTTTACCTAGGTAGGAAATTTGACATTTAATGCACTGTTTAACTGTCAACACAGTCAAATTTTCTCTCGAGAGAAAGTCAAGAATTTCAGTCAAGTCAGGAGAATTTTGAAACTCACTCTGGAACAAGGCTTTTTCGCACTAGAGCACTTGAAATGGTGTTTAATTTGAACGTTCTCTTCGGCTTTTGGCTTTACTATGATGCTCTAAAAAGCATTTTCCTCATTTGATTTGCTGTTCGAAGTTGTTCAGAACACTCTGGAGCAAGATAAAAACAACTTTTTTGTTCCAAGTACTATTAAAACCCACTCTAGAACAGTTTCGAGGTTTGTTTTTTGGAGCACTTTCGATTTAAGAACAATTAAAACAGTTCTAGAACAATCTGGTGTAGGTACAATTGAAAACGATTTTGGAACTGTTTATAAAAATTGTGTTCAGAGCTGTTCTGAGACAATTTATCATTCCCAGAACAGTTTTAAATCCACTCTCAGTGCGTGTAGTTTACTCTAGAACCATTATAGAACAATCCAGAATAAATTCTAAAACAAATTCTGTGTTCAAAAAAAATATGTTCCAGAGTAGGAAAAGCGATGCAAAAGTTCCAGAACAATTTGTTCTAGAACCAATTGTATGTTTAGAGAAGAGAGCTATTTTATGTTCAGAGCTGCTCTAGAACGATTCAAATCACTCCCAAAACAGTTCTAAATCCACTTTCAGTTCAGCGCAATTTACTCTAGAACCATTCTAGAACAATCAAGAATTACTCGAAAAGACTTGAAAACGGTGGAAAATACAGAGCGAATGAAAAATGTTTTTTCTTACTTGAAAACCTTGTTCCAGAGTGAATTTTTAAAATTGTTCGAAACAATTCAGAGCGGTAAATGAAATGAGTAACATCTTTTTTGGAGCATCTTCAATTCGAAGTTTTGAACACTATAAAAAACTCGCCTCGCAACTGTTCTAGAGTGATTTTATAGATATACTCTGGATAACTTGAAACAATGAAAAATGCAGAGTGACCTGTGAAAAAGTGTCTTATCAAAAGAATCTTGCTCCAGAGTGAGTTTTAAGCCTGTTCGGAACAACTAAATAGGATGAAAAACAATAATAAGTAGCTCCAAAGTGTTCTGAACTGAACTGTTCTATCTGCATTAATTCCATTTAAATTCTTTCCAATTGCTGTTCCAACTACACGAAGTCTGTTTTTTATGCATTGTTCTGGTTGTAACTGTTCCAAGTGCACTGACTTTTTTTGATCTGTTTAACTATCCGAACTACCTTAACTGTTCCATTTGCACTAACTCGATTTAAATTATTCTAATGAAGAGAACAAATGTTTACCATGCAAACTTGGAGCAAAAAAGTGTCGCACCATGAAATTTCAATTTGAATACTCTTGGTTCAAGGATTGTACTCTTTTTGACTCTGTTATTTTTTCAGAGTAAAAAATATTAAGTTATCAAAATTAGAATAAAAAGAATATACTCTATGGGTCCTATTTCTTTATCAAAACTATTGAAATCGCTTAATGTTGAATGGGAACAGTTTAGAATAAATATTTACTACAACTTCCAATAGAATATTATTTATTGGGTTTCATGATGACGTCACGGGGAGTGCACTTCCATTTAAAAATTGTACTCTTTTAACCCTGTTGATTCTCAAAGTAAACAGGGTAACATTAAACTGACTATAGTTCATTTAGAACCAGTTCCAGATCATTTCAGAAATGGTTTTTAGAGTTCAGACTGCTCCATTTGGTGTTCCAAATTTTAAAACAAAACTAAACTGACCTGTACTAGAGCAAATTGATTTTACTCTTTTTTGTTCGTAATTCAATCAGAACCTGTTCCGGAACATATTTAATTTACTGTTCTATGTTCAAATATTCAATTCGATGCGATCTTCGAATTTACTGTTTAAATTCCTTAGTTCTGAACTGGTTCACAATCAAAAAATGCAAAAAAAGTGTTCTGGATCACCTTAAATTTGCTCGCAATTAATTTAGAACCAGTTCGATTGAGTTCCGCATTTTTCTAGTGCTGTTCTAAACTTGAAAAAATCCTGAACTGATTCACTCTAGTATTCGTACATTCCACGTAAATTCTGAGAATAAGTGCCCCGGAGCATGAGACTTCTAAAATAGTGCCCTGGAGCACAATAAACTTTTTTTTCCTTGTTTTCAAATCTTCTACTTTGAACCGGTTTGCAATCAAACAATGTCAAATAAGTGTTCTAGAACACTAGTTCACAGTTTATCTAGAACTGGTTCCAAATCATTTCTGAACTAATTCCTAGTGTTTTGCCGTTCAATAAGAACAGGTTCTGAATCGATTATAATACATAGAGTGCATGAATATCTTAAATTAAATTACTGTTTTTGGTTCTCAATTCATTCAGAACTGCATCTTAGAGTTCCGAGCTGTTCAATTGCTGTTCCGAACTCTGAAAAAAACTGAACTGGTACCCAATCTAAGCTTAAATAAGTGTTCTGGAACATATTGAACTTGATGTTTCTTGTTCGTAATTGAGTTAGAACAAGGATTCTGAATAGAATTCTATTTTGTAAATGTCACTTTTTTTTGCAGCTGTAGCTAGAGTACTTCGGAGTAACTCGGGTGGCACCCTAATTAAAATCACTTTGGAATCGGTTCTATATGTTCTAAGGACTAAGAATTGACCAAGAATCTGTTCTGAACTCGTTTATTGTTAGAAAATTCCTTGTTCTGAACTGGCTTGCAATTCGAACATTGCAAAATAAGTGTTTCCGCATTTTTCAATTGCTACTCCGGGACCTCTGCAGTCTACTCTTTTTACTCCGTAATACCCGAACGTAAATAAACTTGGGTATCACAGTGACGTCATCATGTAACAAGGATATTCATCATTCGAATAGAGTTAGCGAGCGGTTAAGATTTTCAATTTCAAAAGCCCCAATTTATCTAAAACCTTATTATGTTTAAAATGTATTTAAATTACTATAATTTTGTTATAAAATAGATAATTTGTTTATAATAATAAAGCTACACTTACCTGTTGAGATGATGTTGGGAATTTACATGAATCTATCTCTTTCTCTGAGCCTGACAAAGATAAAGATAGATATACATTCTTTCGTCTATTTAAACATATTTAAACATAAAAACTCTCCACATGAAAAGCCTAGTTCCATAATAATCGAATTTCTTGTACTCACCCTTGAAATATGTTGCCCCCACTCGGAAATTCAATTTTCTCGGCAAAACAAACACAGAATCCGAACCGCGACATTTTTCCGAACATTTTCATGTAATTTTACCAATTGAAAAGTCCCGAAAAACTGGAAAATTCAACGAAAAACCGGCACTCGATATAAAAGCGCGTGGCCATTTTGAAACAATGCTGAAACTACGCTTATTTGTTACGAGATGGCGCTGCAAACGCAAACTCAAAAAAACAGTCAAAATCAAATAAAATAACTAATTAGGACTTAATTAAAGCCTAATTACATTAAAATAAATTAAAATTAATATAATTATAGCCTTTATTAGGTTTTAAATACCCCCCCAAGTAGGCTTTGGAATTTCGAATGTCTTTTGACAATGGCAATTTTGACACTTGACACTTTGTCATTATAAGCGGAAAATGGCCAACGCGTTTTTATTTCGTCCGCCCGTTTTTTGTGGAATTTTCCAGTTTTCAATTGGAAAAAGTACTCTAGAGTGTTCGGAAAAGTGTCCCGGTTCGAATTATGTATTTATTTTGTCCAGTAATTTTGACGTTCTGATGGGGGCTACAGTACAAGGGGTGAGTACCAAGAAAGTTGATTTATTGTATTTGTGTGTATAATTTATGGTATTTTTATATAGAATTTGCAAAAGAACTTGGTATTTCTATCTTTTTTTATACCAGGTTTAGCGAAAGAGTTGAACATATGCAAACGCTATTAATCTAGTAAAGCCGGTAATATAAATACAGATCCCTGTAATGGTTTTAGGGTTTTTTTTTTTTAATGCCTGCAACCGCAAAAAAAAAGAAGAGCACTTTTCTTGCAACAACAACATAACCTCTCTGATTGTTTATTTTAAAATTATTATAAATTAAAATTTTGCCAACAAAACAATTAAAAATAATGGACGACGATACAGTAGCGTTCGGTGACGAAGACCTGGGTGCCAAAACGGGGCTTTTGCCGTAAGTATTCGAGCGACTCCAAAACTCAATTTCCTCAAAAAACAACCTTTCAAGGCACCCTTACGTGACATTGTTCCACGTAGGCTTCAGGTCGGCAGCGATTGCCGCTTACCTGTTTTGCAGCTGGTTCAGCGACAGCTTCATAACCAGCTTCGTTGCCATAGTTTTGTTGCTATCCATGGACTTTTGGACTGTGAAAAACATCACTGGACGTCTCATGGTAGGGCTGCGCTGGTGGAATTACGTGGACGAAGAGGGCAAATCTCATTGGGTTTACGAATCGAGAAAGGTTTTTAGAATATCCTATTCACAGGTGCAGGTAAATTTATCACCTTTCCCTGTCAAATAGCATTGAAAAGTGATAAATTTTACCTGTACTTGTGGACATAGGATTGTGAATGGATAATATCTATATAATAAGGTTTTTTTGTTTTTAGAATAGGATAAATGAAAGGGAATCTAAAATATTTTGGACGGCCTTGTTTTTGGTTCCCTTAATTTGGGGGCTGTTTTTTTTGGTTGCCTTATTCGGGCTTAAGGTTAAATGGATGGTAAATAACCTAATAATAACCTTAGTGCGTGTTCACGTTGACACCGCACGAGCGGAGAGTGTTTCACGAGGGTTTGTACTTACGTCATCATTTGCCTTTTTTTTGAAAAATAGGTTTTTTTATGTCTGAAATTTCAAACAAACATATAGTTCGTTGCATGGCATGAAGGTTTTTAGTTACGTCATCGATGACATCATAACTTAGAGAAAAAATTAAATCATAGATTAATTCATGGAGCACCTTCAGAATTATTGTTTTGTAATACATTTTTTAACTTAGAATAGAGTTTATTTAGTTATCCGAAAATATATAAATAAATTTCATTTGGAGTGATTTTTCACTGAAAAAATTTTGAAATTTTTCTCTAATGAGCTCCTCACTTTTCTCTTTTTCCTGGAAAATATTCAAAATTTTCCCTTTGCCAGTTTTCCAAAAAAAACTTTAAATGTGAAAGGGTGAATTTTCCTTAATTTTGCTTAAATAACTCAATTTTCCAGAATTTTTTCTTGAGTCATTTTTTACTAGAAAGTTTTGAAATTTTCTTACATTGAGTTCCCCACTTTTTTCTTCTTCTTCTGAAAAAATTCCACAATTTTTGCTCTGCCAGTTTTCCAGAAAAAAAATTAAATGTGAAAGGATGAATTTTGCTTAAAAAAGTCAATTTCTAGAACTTTCCTATTGACTTTCCTTGGAGTGATTTTTCACTAGAAAATTTTGAAATTTTCCTATAATGAACTCCTCATTTTCTTCTTTCTTCTGGAAAAATTTCACAAGTTTTGCTTTATCAGTTTTCCAGAAATAAATTAAAATGTGAGAGGATGAATTTTCCTTAATTTTACTTGAAAAAGTCATTTTTTCAAAAATTTTCTTGGAGCGACTTTCCATTGGAAAATTTTGAAATTTTCTTATAATGAGCTCCTGACTTTCCTCTTTTTCCTCTTTTGCCAGTTTTCCAGAAAACAATTAAAATGTGAGAGGATGAATTTTCCTTAATTTTACTTGAAAAAGTTAATTTTCCAGAATTTTCCCTAGAGTGATTTCTCATTGAAAAATTTCGTAATTTTCCTATAATGAGCTCCTCACTTTCCTCTTTTTCTTGGCAAATTTTCAAAATTTTCCCTCTGCCAGTTTTCCAGAAAAAAATTAAAATGTAAGAGGGTGAATTTTCCTTAATTTTGCTTAAATAAGTCAATTTTCCAGAATTTTTTATGCAATGATTTTTCATTTGAAAATTTTAAAATTTTTGCAATAATTTCTGTAATTTTCACAGTTTTTTGTAATATCCATAATTCTCGTAATTTTTCGTTATTCACGTAATTTTTCATAATTTCCATTTTTCATAAATTCCGTAATTTTCTGTAATCTTGAGAAAATTTCCATTATTTACAAACAATTCCTGTAATTTTGAATAATTTTGAGTAATTCCTGCATTTTTGGAATAATTCCTGTTATTCCCCTATTTTTTTGTAATTTCCATTATTTTTCGTAATTTCTGCAATATTCGAATAATTTCCGTAATTTCAGAATAATTTGTGAAATTTTGAATTATGTATATACATAATTCCTATAGTTTTGAATTGATAATTTAAAAAATATAAGAATTGCAAACATTTCGGAAAATTTTACGAAAATTACAAAAATTTCAAAAAGTTACTAGATTTTTAAAAAATTATGAGAATTATAAAAATTAAAAGAAATAAAAAATTACAAAAATAATTTATTAAAGAATTACAAAAATTAAAAAATATTAGAAACTACGAAAAAATCAAAAAATTACCGAATTTGCAAAGATTCCTCAAAAAATTACGAAAATCACAAAAATTAGGAAAATTATAAAAATTACAAAAATTACAGGGATCGCGAAAAAAAAAAAAAAACGGAAAAATTGTAAAAATCACAGGAATTTTGAAAAATTACGGGAAATACATTAATTATTAAAAGCTAAGAGGAAAATTAAAAAATTACAAAAAAATCGAGTATTACAAAAGCAATGAAAATAAGATTGAAAAATACTGGAAATTCAAAAATTATGTAAAATTACAAAAATAATTGAAAAATTACGTAAAATACGGAAACTACAAAAAAATAACAAAAATCATTAAAATTGCAAAAATCATGAAAATTTGAAAAAAATTACAGCACTTACAATTATGTATTGAAAAATTAAGATGAGAATTGCAAAATTACGAAAAAAACCCGGAATGGAAATACTTATGTAATGGAAATTATTTTAAAAAATTACGGGAATTTTAAAAACTACGTGAAATTGCAAAAATCATTGGCAAATTACGGAAATTACGGAAAAATTACAAAAATCACGAGGATTACATAAATTACGAGAATTTCAAAAATTATGTAGAACTGCGAAAATCATGGGTAAATTGCGAGAATTACATTTGTAAAAAATAAGGAGAATTAGAAAATTACGAAAAAAATCACAAGAATTTCAAAAATTATTAAAATTTCGAAAACATTGGAAAATAACGTATAGCGGAAAATTAACAAAAATTACGAGAATTGCAAAAATTACGTAAAATTTAAAAAGTTACGGAAACCACCATTATTAAAAACTAAAAAGGACAATTATATTTGAGTATTACAAAAGCAATGGAAATTATTGGCAATTTCAAATTTTACGTAGAATTACAAAAGTCATTGATAAATTACGTAAATTACAGGAATTACAAAAATGAAAAATAACGAATATTACAAAAAATCACGGAAATTTCAAAAAAATACGGGAATTACAATTATTGAAAAATTAGGAGAATTATTATAAAATTACGAAAAAAATCACGTAATATGGAAAAATATTAACAAAAACCACAAAAATTTCAAAAAAATCACGGAAAATACATTAATTATTTAAAAAATTGAGAGAAGAATTATAAAATTAGAAAAATAATCGAGTATTACGGAAAAAAATGAAAATTATTGAAAAAAATTACGCGAATTTCAAAAATTACGTAGAATTACAAAAAATTATTGGAAATTACGTTTTACGAACAAATAATAAAAATCACGAGAATTTCAGAAATAACGGAAATTTCAAAAACTTACGGGAATTATCATTATTGAAAAATAAAATAAAGAAATTACGGGAATTAAAAAAATAACAGAAATCACGAAAATCATAAAAAATTATGGAAATTAGAAAATCATAAAAAAAATTAGGACAATTAGAATAATTATAGGAATTGCAAAAATTACGGAAATTACGAAAAATCGGAAAAAAAAATATCGGAAATAACACAAAAATTAAGGAATTTGTTAACTAACGAAAATTAAGGAAATTGCAAAAATTGCAGAAATTACGAGATATCATTGGACCTGTCAAGAAATGACGTTTGAAAAAAAAATTCATTTGAAAAAAAATATTTTTTTATAGGATTGGACCTGTCTAAAAATGACGTTTGAAAAAAAACAACAAATTTTTTTTTATAAGTTTGAACCTGTCAAAAAATGACATTTGAAAAAAAAAATTCATTTGAAAAAAAATATTTTTTTATAGGATTGGACTTGTCCAAAAATGACGTTTGAAAAAAAACAACAAATTTTTTTTTATAAGTTTGAACCTGTCAAAAAATGACATTTGAAAAAAAAAAATAAAATTTTCATATTATTGGACCTGTCAAAAAAAAATGACACTTGCAAAAAAAAAAAAAATTATAGGTGTCATTGGACCTGTCAAAAAAAAAAATACATTTAAAAAAAATTTTTTTTTATAGGATTGAACCTGTCAAAAAATGACGTTTGAAAAAAAATTTTTTTTTTTATAAGTTTGAACCTGTCAAAAAATTACGTTTGCAAAAAAAAAATTTTTTTTTATAAGTTTGGACATGTCAAAAAATGACATTTGAAAAAAAAAAAATTCTTTCATATTATTGGACCTGTCAAAAAAAAAAATTCATTTAAAAAAAAAAAAATTTTTTATCGGGTTGGACCTGTCAAAAAATGACGTTTGAAAAAAAATTTTTTTTTATAACTTTGGACCTGTCAAAAAATGACATTTGAAAAAAAAAATTTTTTTTTCATATTGGACCTGTCAAAAAAAAATGACACTTGAAAAAAAAAAAAATATAGCTGTCATTGGACCTGTCAAAAAAAAATACATTTAAAATAAAAATTTTTTTTTATAGGATTGGACCTGTCAAAAAATGACGTTTGAAAAAAAAAATCTTTTTTCAATAAGTTTGGACCTGTCAAAAAATTTCGTTTGAAAAAAAAATAAATTTTTTTTTTATAAGTTGGACCTTTCAAAAAATGACATTTGAAAAAAAAAAATCATTTGAAAAAAAATATTTTTTTATAGGATTGGACCTGTCCAAAAATGACGTTTGAAAAAAAACAAAAAATTTTTTTATAAGTTTGAACCTGTCAAAAAATGACATTTGAAAAAAAAAAATAAAATCATATTATTGGACCTGTTAAAAAAAAATGACACTTGAAAAAAAAAAAAAATTTATAGGTCATTGGACCTGTCAAAAAAAAAAATTTTTTTTTTATAGGATTGGACCTGTCAAAAAATGACGTTTGAAAAAAAAAATTTTTTTTTTTAAGTTTGGACCTGTCAAAAAATTGCGTTTGAAAAAATTTTTTTTTTATAAGTTTGGACCTGTCAAAAAATTGCGTTTGAAAAATTTTTTTTTTTATAAGTTTGGACCTGTCAAAAAATGACATTTGAAAAAAAAAATTCATATTATTGGACCTGTCAAAAAAAAATGAAACACTTGAAAAAAAAAATAAATTATAGGTGTCATTGGACCTGTCAAAAAAAAAAAATACATTTAAAAAAAAACTTTTTTTCATAGGATTAGACCTGTCAAAAAATGACGTTTGAAAAAAAAAAACATATTTTTTTTTAAAAGTTTGGACCTGTCAAAAAATTACGTTTGCAAAAAATTTTTTTTTTTTTAGAAGTTTGGACCTTCAAAAAATGACATTTGAAAAAAATATAAAAAAAATTTTTCATATTGCACCTGTCAAAAAAAAAAAATTTATTTGAAAAAAATTTTTTTTTATAGGATTGGACCTGTCAAAAAATGACGTTTGAAAAAAAAGTTTTTTTTATAACTTTGGACCTGTCAAAAAATGACATTTTTTAAGAAAAAAAAAAAAAAATTTCATATTATTGGACCTGTAAAAAAAAAATGACACTTGAAAAAAAAAAAAAAAAAATTTATAGGTGTCATTGGACTTGTAAAAAAAAAAATACATTTAAAAAAAAAAAAAAAAATTATAGGATTGGACCTGTCAAAAAATGACGTTTGAAAAAAAAAAAAATTTTTTATAAGTTTGGACCTATCAAAAAATTACGTTTGAAAAAAATTTTTTTTTTATAAGTTTGGACCTGTCAAAAAATGACATTTGAAAAAAATTAATAAAAAATTTCATATTATTGGACCTGTCAAAAAAAAATGACACACTTGAAAAAAAAAAAAAAAATTTATAGGTGTCATTGGACCTCTCAAAAAAAAAAATACATTTAAAAAAAAAAAAAAATTTATAGGATTAGACCTGTCAAAAAATAACGTTTGAAAAAAAAAAATTTCTTTTTAAAGTTTGGACCTGTCAAAAAATGACATTTGAAAAAAAAAAAAATAAATTTTTCATATCATAGGACCTGTCAAAAAAAAAATAACATTTGAATTTTTTTTTTTTTGTAGGATTGGACCTGTCAAAAAATGACATTTGAAAAAAAATATATTTTTTTTATAGGATTAGACCTATCAAAAAAAAATGATATTTGAAAAAAATATACATACAGTAGACTCGCGCTAGTGTGAACACACGGTTCTGTGAACCTCCCAGTAGTATGAACATCCAGAATGAATACATTATTTATATTCTGTAGTGTGAACTTTTGAGAATCTCGGTAGTATGAACAATGTTTTTGACCACAAATTCAACCATTTTCTGCTTACATTTTGTTTTCATCAGTTATTTCCATCCAATTCTGGGGTTCCCCAAATGTTTTGAGACAAGGAATGCACAGATATATTAAGTTACTGCATTCACTCTTATGTGGAATACACATGTAATAAACAAGTGGCAACGCGTCAAAAGCACGTTTAAAAGTCTATTTTAGTTGGTTGTTTGCTGTGGTTAATCAGTTTTGTGAAAATGGCGAAAAACAACAAGATTTTCTGACAGTTTGCTAGTTGAGAATAAACTGGATTTTTGTGAGAACGGACCTTATGAGAAATCAAAAATCATAGCAGATTGCCAGCAAGGCAAGACCATATCTTGGAGTTAATGACACAGAAAGCCTAAGAAACTTTGAAGACAAAGTAAGCAGCCATCTAGTGGTCAGCTAGAACCATTCACACAAAAATTACATCTAACTTTAATCAATAAACTGGGAAAATTTACTTAATGGATATGTTTGCAAGTACCTATTGTATCAATTTTTCTTGAATTTCAAGTTTGGAGACCATTGCTGACTGAACTTTGCATTTCTAGGTAGACCTTCGATGGTGTGAACATCTCGATAATATGAACATGTCTGGTTTTTTTGTGTTCACACTAGGGCGAGTCTACTGTATATATATTTTTTTTATATAAGATTGGACCTGTCAAAAAATGACATTTGAAAAAAATAATTAAAATTTTATAGGAATGGACCTGTCAAAAAAAAATGACATTTGAAAAAAAAATATATTTTTTTTTTATATCATTGAACCTGTCAAAAAAAAATGTCATTTGATAAAAAAAAAAAAATTTATAGGATTGGACCTGTCAAAAAAAAATGACATTTGAAAAAAAAATATATTTTTTTTTTATATCATTGGACCTGTCAAAAAAAATGTCATTTGAAAAAAAAAATAATTTTTTTTTTTTTATATCATTGGACCTGTCAAAAAAAAATGACACTTGAGAAAAAAAAAAAAAAACACATTGGACCCATCAAAAAAAATGACACTTGAAAAAACAAAAAATTTTATAGGTATCATTGGACCTGTCAAAAAAAAATTACATTTGAAAAAAAAAATTTTTTTTTAGGATTGGACCTGTCAAAAAAAAAAAAATGACATTTGAAAAAAAATAAAAAAATATAAGTACATATTTCCATAATTTTTTGGGTATTTTGTAATTTTTGGAAATTTTCATAATTTTTATGAATGTTTATGATATTTTCAAATTTTTGTAATTTTCTCAAATTTTTCTAGAAGGAAGAAAAAAGTGAGGACTCGAGTGAGGAGTTCATTATAGGAAAATTTCAAAATTTTCCAGTAGAAAAATCACTCTAGAAAAAATTCTGGGAAATTGACTTTTTCAAGTAAAATTGAGGAAAATTTACCTTGCTGCATTTTAATTTTTTTCTGAAAAACTGGCAAAGGGAAAATTTTTAAAATTTTTCAGGAATAAGTGGAAAATGAGGAGCTCATTTTACGAAAATTTCAAAATTTTCCAATGAAAAATCACTTCAGGAAAAATTTTAAAAAACTAACTTTTTTAAGCAAGATTACTCTTACATTTAAATTTTTTTCTAGAAATCTGGCAAAGGGAAAATTGTGAAATTTTTTAGAAAAAAGAGAAAAGTGAGAAGCTCATTATAGGAAGAAAATTTCAGAATTTTCTAGTGAAAAATGATTCCAGAAAAAAATCTGGAAAATTGAGTTATTTAAGAAAAATTAAGGAAAATTCAACCTTTCATATTTAATTTTTTTTTTTTGGAAAACTGCCAAAGGGAATATATTATAGGAAATTTTCCTATAATGAGTTGAACTCATTATAGGAAAATTTTGAAATTTTCTAGTGAAAAATCACTCCAGGAAAAATTCAAAGAAAATTGACTTATTTAGGCAAAATTAAGGAAAATTCACCCTATTACATTTTAATTTTTTTCTGGAAAACTGCAACATGAAAATTTTGAAATTTTTACAGGAGAAAGAGGTTAAAAAATATACAGGGTGTCCCATCCACTGTGGGACACCCTGTATTTGTTTGAAATTTTAAACATAGAAAAACCTATTTTTCGAAAAAAAAAGACAAATGATGACGTAAGTATGAACCCTTGTGAAACTAACTTTTTTTTACGCGTTTCATTTCCTTTTCATCAAACTCCATCAAAAAAAAAAAAAATGTCAAATTTGAAGTCTAGTTGCGCTTTAGATGCTCGAGGAATGTCAATGTGAACGCGCACTTATCTTATTGTTAATTAATTAATTATTTTTTCAGCTAGTTGTGTTAATTGCCTTAATGCTAAATGGTGCCAATTTGCACGGTTATATTCGTTGCAAAATGGGCAACAAGGACAGTTTTGGCACTATGACGTCAGATTTTCTTAGGAAACAAGTCATGGCCAACGCTATTAATATAGTAACAAGACAAACACCACCTCAATCGCAACCAACAAATAATACAGTGTGATTTTATTTAATTTTAGAATAAATACAATTTCCATTTATCACAGTTGTTGCCTTAACAATTCATCAATTTGACTTTTATACATGTCTTTAACATCCTCCAAATCCAACTTCAATTCCTCAGTTTCCTCCACTTTTTCTCCAAATAGCTGGCATAAAGTGTCATATTGTTTTTGCAACTCGGTTAGCTGCAATTTTATTTGGTTGTAGTTTTTATCTACAACTTCCAGCTCCTCAATTCTGTTAATTAATTTGGAAATTTCCAAATTGAGCAGGGAGCGTTCCTGTTCGCGCCTGTTTAGTTCCCATTGGGCCTGTTGCAGTTCGCCTTCGCGTTGTTTTAATGTGGATTGTAGCATTTGCATTTCAAACATGTTGGTGTAGCGGGGTGCGTGCGTGGCTTCAAAAGGTTCATCCTAAAATTGATTTACAATTTATGTTATGCACAAATTCACACTGATTCTGAGTAGGGTTGCCAGGTGTTACGTATTAAGCGTGATTGTCACAATTTTTGAATGATTGCCACACATTACACCTGAGTATGCGCATAACACGCTTTTTCATAATTTCATGTAAACGCTTCCTAAATAAATTATTTATTAGTTAAAAATAGACTTGCTTTAATAATAATAATAATGTTTATTTATTCTCTTGTACAATTTACTAAATTTATATTTCTATGATTAACATTCTTATATAGGTACTAATACTAATAATGAAGAAAAAAATATGATTAAAATAAACAATTCACTTATGAAGTGATAAATCCACTTATTGTGAAAGAAAGTCAAAATTGGGATATTTTTCATAATCGGGTGGTTTTTAGTTGAATTCGGGTTTGAATAGTTATTTATGATATAAGTGCTAAAAGTGACATTTTATTTTGTGAATAGGGAAGTTTGGGACACGACGCCAAAGGCGGAGTGTTCCATCCCTTTGAACAAAATAAAATCACTTTTATCACGAATAACATACACTATTTTTTCTACAAACGCACTAAAAATGATTACTTTTAGCACTAGTGCTAAAAGTAATCACTTTTAACACCAGTGTCATAAAATGGCATTTTAGACACTGACAGCATCCGTTAAAAATGACACTTTTAGTGACGTTTGTAGAAAAAAGTCATTTTTGGGGTTTTTAAAGACAATATTTGGATATTCATTCAGACATGTTTGGAAATATTTTTTCGCAGGTGCTTTAGAGGTTGGACCTGTCAAAAAATGACAGTTGGAGAAAAAAAAATTCATATTATTGGACCTGTCAAAAAAAAATGACACTTGGAAAAAAAAATTAAAATTTATAGGTATCATTGGACCTGTCGAAAAAAAAATTACATTTGAAAACAAAATTTTTTTTTTTAGGATTGGACCTGTCAAAAAATGACGTTTAAAAAAAAAATATATTTTTTTTATAACTTTGGACCTGTCAAAATATGACATTTGAAAAAATAAAATAAAAATTATTATTATTGGACCTGTCAAAAAAAAATGACACTTGGAAAAAAAAATAAAAATTTTATAGGTACCATTGTCAAAAAAAAAATTACATTTAGAAAAAATATTTTTTTTTATAAGATTGGACCTGTCAAAAAATGACGTTTGAAAAAAAAATTTTTTTTTTTTATAACTTTGGACATGTCAAAAAATGACATTTGAAAAAATAAAATAAAAATTACATATTATTATTGGACCTGTCAAAAAAAAATGACACTTGGAAAAAAAAATAAAAATTTTATAGGTACCATTGTCAAAAAAAAAATTACATTTAGAAAAAATATTTTTTTTTATAAGATTGGACCTGTGAAAAAATGACATTTGAAAAAAATAAATAAAAATTTTTCATATTATTAGACCTGTCAAAAAAAAATGACACTTGAAAAAAAAATAATATGTAATATGTAATAATTTATAGGTGTCATTGCACCTGTAATTTGAATTTTTTTTTTTTTTTATAACTTTGGACCTGTCAAAAAATAACATTTGAAAAAATAAAATAAAAATTATTATTATTGGACCTGTCAAAAAAAAATGACACTTGGAAAAAAAAATAAAAATTTTATAGGTATCATTGGACCTGTCAAAAAAAAAATTACATTTGAAAAAAAAAAATTTTTTAATAGGATTGGACCTGTCAAAAAATGACATTTGAAAAAAAAATATTTTTTTTTTCATAAGTTTGGACCGGTCAAAAAATGACATTTGAAAAAAAAAAAATCATATTGGACCTGTCAAAAAATGACGTTTAAAAATTTTTATTTTTTTTTTTATAAATTTGGACCTGTGAAAAAATGACAATTGAAAAAAAAAAAAAAAAAATTTTTCATATTATTGGACCTGTCAAAAAAAAATGACACTTGAAAAAAAAAAAAAAAAAAAAATTATAGGTATCGTTGGATTATTTTTTCAAATGTCATTTTATGACAGGTCCAAAGTTATAAAAAAAAAAATATTTTTTTTTCAAACGTCATTTTTTGACAAATCCAATCCTATAAAAAAAAAATAATTTTTTAAATGTAATTTTTTTTTCGACAAGTCTAATGATTCCTATAAATTTTAATTTTTTTTTCCAAGTGTCATTTTTTTTTGACAGGTCCAATAATATGAAAAAACATTTTTTTTTTTTCAATGTCATTTTTTGACAGTCCAAACATAAAAACAAAAAAAAAAATTCAAACGTCATTTTTTGACAGGTTCAAATTTATAAAAAAAAAAAAAAATTTCAAACGTCATTTTTTGACAGGTCCAAACTTGAAAAAAAAAATATTTTTTTCAAACGTCATTTTTTGATAGGTTCAATCCTATAAAAAAAAAAAATTTCAAATGAAATTTTTTTTTTTGACAGGTCCAATACACCCATAATTATTTTTTTTTTTTTTTTTTGGAAATGTCATTTTTTTTTGACAGGTACAATAATATGAACAAATTTTGTTTTTTTTTTCAAATGTCATATTTTTTTGACAGATGTAAAAAAAGTTTCAAATGAAATTTTTTTTTTTTGACAGGTCCAATGACACCTATAATTATTATTTTTTTTTTTCAAGTATCATTTTTTTTTGACAGGGCCAATAATATGAATTTTTTTTTTTTTTCAAATGTTATTTTTTGATTGGTCCAAAGTTATAAAAAAAAAATCCAATCCTATTAAATATATATTTTTTTTTTTTCAAGTGTCATTTTTTTTTGACAGGTCCAATAATATAAAAAAAACAGGTCCAAACTTATAAAAAAACCAATTTTTTTTTTCAAATGAATTTTTTTTTTAAATGTCATTTTTTGACAGGTCCAAACAAAAAAAAAAAATTTTTTTTTTTTCAAACGTAATTTTTTGACAGGTCCAAACTTATTAAAAAAAAAAATAATTTTTTTTAAACGTCATTTTTTGACAGGTCCAATCCTATTAAAAAAAATTTTTTTTCGAATGAAATTTTTTTTTTGACAGGTCCAAGGTCATTTTTTTTGACAGGTACAAAAATTAGGATTTTTTTTTTTCAAATGTCCAATCCTATATAAAAAAAATTTTAAATGTATTTTTTTTTTAACAGGTCTAATGATACCTATAAAAATTTTTTCTTTTTTTTCCAAGTGTCATTTTTTGATAAATCCAATCCTATAAAAAAAAATTTTTTTTTCTAATGTAATTTTTTTTTGACAGGTCTAATGATTCCTATAAATTTAAATTTTTTTTTTCCAAGTGTCATTTTTTTTTGACAGGTCCAATAATATGAAAAATTTTTTTTTTTTTCAATGTCATTTTTTGACAGTCCAAACTTATAAAAAAAATTTAAAAAAAAATTTCAAACGTCATTTTTTGACAGGTCGAATCCTATGAAAAAATATTTTTTTTCAAATGATTTTTTTTTTTTAAATGTCATTTTTTGACAGGTCCAACTTATAAAAAAAAAAATATTTTTTTTTTCAAACGTCCTTTTTTGACAGGTCCAAACTTAAAAAAGAAATTTTTTTCAAACGTCATTTTTTGACAGGTCCAATCCTATAAAAAAAAAATTTCAAATGAATTTTTTTTTTTGACAGGTCCAATGACACCTATAACTTTTTTTTTTTTTTCCAAGTGTCTTTTTTTTTTTGACGGCCAATAATATGATTTTTTTTATTTTTTTTTCAAATGTCATTTTTGACAGGTCCAAAGTTATAAAAAAAAATTTTTTTCTCAAACGTCATTTTTTGACAGGTCCAATCCTATAAAAAAAAAAAAAAAAAATTATAGGTGTCATTGGACCTGTCAAAAAAAAATACATTTAAAAAAAAAAAAAAAATATTTAATAGGATTGGATTTTTTTTTTAACTTTGGACCAATCAAAAAATAACATTTGAAAAAAAAAAAAAAAATTCATATTATTGGCCCTGTCAAAAAAAATGACACTTGAAAAAAAAAAACAAATAATTATAGGTGTCATTGGACCTGTCAAAAAAAAAATTTTCATTTGAATTTTTTTTTTTTTTATAGGATTGAACCTATTAAAAAATGACGTTTGAAAAAAAAAATTTTTTTCATATTATTGGCCCTGTCAAAAAAAAATGACACTTGGAAAAAAAAGAAAAAAATTTTATAGGTATCATTAGACCTGTCAAAAAAAAAATTACATTTAAATTTTTTTTTTTTTTTATAGGATTGGACCTGTCAAAAAATAACGTTTGAAAAAAAATATTTTTTTTTTCTATAACTTTGGACCTGTGAAAAATGACATTTGAAAAAAATAAATAAAAATTTTTCATATTATTAGACCTGTCAAAAAAAAATGACACTGAAAAAAAAAAAAAAAAAAAATAATTTAAGTATAGGTGTCATTGGACCTGTAATTTGAATTTTTTTTTTTTTATAGGATTGACCCTGTCAAAAAATGACGTTTGAAAAAAAATTTTTTTTTTTAACTTTGTACCTGCCAAAAAATGACATTTGAAAAAAAAAATCATATTATTGTACCTGTCAAAAAAAATGACACTTGCAAAAAAAAAAAATCTATAGGTGTCATTGGATCTGTCAAGAAAAAAATTTAATTCGAAAAAAAATTTTTTTTAATAGGATTGGACCTGTCAAAAAATGACGTTTGAAAAAAATTATTTTTTTTTTCTATAACTTTGGACCTGTGAAAAATGACATTTGAAAAATATAAATAAAAATTTTTCATATTATTAGACCTGTCAAAAAAAAATGACACTTGAAAAAAAAAAAAATAATAATAATTTATAGGTGTCATTGGACCTGTAATTTGAATTTTTTTTTTTTTATAGGATTGGACCTGTCAAAAATGACGTTTGAAAAAAAAAAAAAAATTTTTATAACTTTGGACCTGTCAAAAAATGACATTTGAAAAAAAAAAAAAATCATATTATTGGCCCTGTCAAAAAAAAATGAAAAAAATAAAAAAAAATTATAGGTGTCATTGGACCTGTCAAAAAAAAAAAATCTCATTTGAAATAAAAAATATTTTTTCATAGGATTCGACCTGTCAAAAAATAACGTTTGAAAATTTTATTTTTTTTTATAAGTTTGGACTGTCAAAAAATGACATTGAAAACAAAATTTTTTTTTTCATATTATTGGCCCTGTCAAAAAAAAATGACACTTGGAAAAAAAAGAATTTTTTTTTATAGGTATCATTAGACCTGTCGAAAAAAAAATTACATTTAATTTTTTTTTTTTTTTATAGGATTGGACCTGTCAAAAAATGACGTTTGAAAAATTGTTTTTTTTTTCTATAACTTTGGACCTGTGAAAAAATGACATTTGAAAAAAATAAATAAAAATTTTTCATATTATTAGACCTGTCAAAAAAAAATGACACTTGAAAAAAAAAATAATAATAATTTATAGGTGTCATTGGACCTGTAATTTGAATTTTTTTTTTTTTATAGGATTGACCCTGTCAAAAAATGACGTTTGAAAAAAAAAAAAATTTTTTTATAACTTTGGACTCGTCAAAAAATGACATTTGAAAAAAAAATAAAAATTCATATTATTGTACCTGTCAAAAAAAATGACACTTGCAAAAAAAAAAAAATTATAGGTGTCATTGGACCTGTCAAGAAAAAAATTTCATTCGAAAAAAAAATTTTTTTAATAGGATTGGACCTGTCAAAAAATGACGTTTAAAAAAAAATATTTTTTTTTTTTCAATAAGTTTGGACCTGTCAAAAAATTACGTTTGAAAAAAAAAATTCATTTGAAAAAAAAAAATTTTTATAGGATTCGACCTGTCAAAAAATGACGTTTGAAAAAAATAATAAAAATTTTATAGGATTGGATCTGTCAAAAAAAAATGACATTTAAAAAAAAAAATATATTTTTTTTTATATCATTGGATCTGTCAAAATAAATGTCATTTAAAAAAAATTTTGTTGTAGCAGCTTCGGTTCCATTTACACTATTTTCAAATGCAGGACAAATTTTGACACAACACAAGAATTATATGGAAAAGGAAAAAAATAGTCAAAATTGCTTTTTTTAGATAATAATTGTGACTTAAATATGATTTTTACTCGTATTCATATCATTTAAGTCAAAGTGTCTAACTAGATTTACTCCCTAATGCTTAGTTGTTCCTATTGTCAGGGATGCTATCAGCACTAAAAAAATTGTACCAGAAAGTAGGGAATAATTGTACTAGATTGGCGACATTGTGTACTAGCTGAAAGCGCATCAAATTTTGAAATTTGAATACAAATGTAGACTCTGCTAAATGGGGGTAAATATCACTTGTTTTAGGGTCGGTTCCTCAATAGCGAGTCACCTCAGTCAGCTGTGGGTTGGTTTTAACTCTAGGGTAAAAACGTGGCCAGTTGCAATGTTTACCAAGAGTTATCCTCAAGGTGATTTGCTATTGGGAAACAGGCACTGATTCACCTGAATGATAGAAATAAATAAATTTCTACATATTTAGTTATAAATCGACTACCGATTACCATGATCCGCTGAATAACCACCGATACATGAGACACGTCAAGTCACATAATAAAAAACTCCCCCAACATCAAATTCTGGGATACTCGAGGATCAAGAACACTTAGGGCGGGTATTATAAAACTGCTTTGGCAGTTAACTTGAAATTAACTTTTTGAATTACATGTAATTCCAGAAGTTAACTTTAAGTTAAAAGCAGTTTTATAATACCCGCCCTAACATAGCCTGAATCGCTAGTATTCGATCGAGGTCTGCGGGTGACGTCATCGCAGCGAGACTCGACTCGTAATCGTAATTGTACTAGATTTATGAGAGAGGTACTAGCGTACTAGGTGAAACGTGATTGTGCTAGATCTAGTACAATTGTACTAGAAATAGCATTCCTGCCTATTGTTTGCTTTCAAATGTAGGTACCTACTTTTATAACAATTTTTCGTTAGGGTAAATATGGTCAAACAACTTCCAAATATCCCCAGCTATCACTCATTGGAATATTCCTATCGATGTACCAAATACCCTGTATATTAAGGTCTGAGGCAAGTTTATTTTTAACTAATAAATAATTTATTTATGAAATTATGAGAAAGCGTGTCATACACACGCCTACTCAGGCGTGATGTGTGACAACCATTAAAAAATCGTAACAATCACGCTTAATACGTGACACCTGATAACCCTAATTCTGAGTGAAAAAAAAAAAATGACTCACCTGTGACCAAAAACTACCACTCAACGACTCAGAAACTGACACTTTGCCTAAACTAAGAGTCGGCGAAGAAGGCGAACTTCTGTCAACCATTGTAGGACTGTCTTGTTGCTGTTTTTCATAGTCAATAGCCAGTTGTTGCTTTAACTGCTGAATTTCTTTGTCTTTGTCAAGGATTAGGTCTGCTTGTTGCTTAATTTTACTGCAAATAATTCAAATTTACTTGAAATTGGAACCATAAGCGCAACTAGGCTCCAAATTTGAGGGGTGCTGCAGCACCATTTTTTTAAATGCGAGAGGATAAATTTTCCTTAATTTTATTTGAAAAAGTCATTTTTTCAAAATTTTTCCTGGAGCGATTTTCCATTGGAAAATTTTGAAATTTTCTTATAATGAGATCCTGACTTTCCTCTTTTTCTTGAAAAATTTTCAAAATTTTCCCTCTGCCAGTTTTCCAGAAAAAAATTAAAATGTAAGAGGGTGAATTTTCCTTGATTTTGCTTAAATAAGTCAATTTTCCAGAATTTTTTATGGAGTGATTTTTCTTCAATTTTGAATAATTTTGAGTAATTCCTGCATTTTTGGAATAATTCCTGTAATTCCCCAATTTTTTTGTAATTTCCGTTATTTTTCTTAATTTTTGCAATATTCGAATAATTTCCGTAATTTCAGAATATATTTTGAAATTTTGAATTATGTATATAATTCCTATAGTTTTGAATTGATAATTTAAAAAATATAAGAATTGCAAAAATTTCGGAAAATTTTACGAAAATTACAAAAATTGAAATTAGTAGAAATTAGAAAAATTTCAAAACTACAAAAAAATACTAGATTTTAAAAAAATATGAGAATTATAAAAATTAAAAGAATTAAAAAATTTCGAAAATAATTTATTAAAGAATTACAAAAATTAAAAAATATTAGAAACTACGAAAAAATCAAAAAATTACCGAATTTGCAAAGATTCCTCAAAAAACTAAGTACGGAAATCACAAAAATTAGGAAAATTATAAAAATTCCATTAAAAAATTATGGAAAATACAGGACTACGGAAAATAAAGAATTAATAAATATAAATTGAAAAATTATAAAAATTTCAAAAATTAAGTACTAGGATCGCGAAAAAATGAAAAAAATCGAAAAAATTGCAAAAATCACGGGAATTTTGAAAAATTACGGGAAATACATTAATTATTAAAAAACTAAGAGGCAAATTAAAAAATTACAAAAAAATCGGGTATTACAAAAGCAATGAAAATAAATTTGAAAAATACTGGAAATTCAAAAATTATGTAAAATTAAAAAAATAATTGAAAAATTACGTAAAATACGGAAACTACAAAAAAAATAACAAAAATCATTAAAATTGCAAAAATCATGAAAATTTGAAAAAAATTACAGCACTTACAATTATTGAAAAATTAAGATGAGAATTGCAAAATTACGAAAAAAACCGGAAATGGAAATTATTTTAAAAAATTACGAGAATTTCAAAAACTACGTGAAATTGCAAAAATCATTGGCAAATAACGGAAATTACGAAAAAATTATAAAAATCATGGGAATTACAAAAATCACGGGAATTTCAAAAATTGCGTAGAACTGCGAAAATCGTGGGTAAATTGCGAGAATTAAATTTGTAAATAATTAGAGAATTATAAAATTACGAAAAAAATCACGGGAATTTCAAAAATTATTGAAATTTCGAAAACATTGGAAAACAACGTATTACGAAAAAATAACAAAAATTACGAGAATTGCAAAAATCACGGAAAATTTAAAAAGTTACGGAAACCACCATTATTAAAAACTAAAAAGGAAAATTATAAAATTTGAGCATTACAAAAGCAATGGAAATTATTGGCAATTTCAAATATTACGTAGAACTCAAAAGTCATTGATAAACTACGTAAATTACAGGAATTACAAAAATGAAAAATAACGAATATGTATTGCAAAAAATCACGGAAATTTCAAAAAAAAATACGGGAATTACAATTATTGAAAAATTAGGAGAATTATTATAAAATTACGAAAAAAATCACGGAAATTTCAATAGTTTTTGTAGTAAAATTACGAAAATTATTGGAAAATTACGTAATATGGAAAATTATTAACAAAAATTACAAAATCTTCAAAAAATCACGAAAATTACTTTAATTATTAAAAAAAATTGAGAGAAGAATTATAAAATTAGAAAAAAAATCGAGTATTACGGAAAACAATGAAAATTATTGAAAAAAATTACGGAATTTCAAAAATTACGTAAAATTGCAAAAAAATTATTGGAAATTACGTTTCACGAAAAAATAATAAAAATCACGAGAATTTCAAAAATAACGGAAATTTCAAAAACTTACGGGAATTATCATTATTGAAAAATAAAATAAAGAAATTACGGGAATTAAAAAAATAACAGAAATCACGAAAATCATAAAAATTATGGAAATTAGAAAATCATAAAAAAAATTAGGACAATTAGAATATGCAATTATATATATAGGAATTGCAAAAATTACGGAAATTACGAAAAATTGAAAAAAAAAAATATCGGAAATAACACAAAAATTAGGGAATTTGTTAATTAACGAAAATTAAGGGAATTGCAAAAATTGCAGAAATTAGGAAAAATTTCGTAGGTGTCTTGGACCTGTCACAAAAAAAATTTCATTTGAAAAAAATTTTTTTTTAATAGGATTGGACCTGTCAAAAAATGACGTTTGTAAAAAAAATATTTTTTTTCTATAAATTTGGACTTGTCAAAAAATGACATCTGAAAAAAAAAAAAAAATTTGTTCATATTATTGGACTTGTCAAAAAAAAATGACACACTTGAAAAAAAAAAAAAAATATAGGTGTCATTGGACCTGTCAAAAAAAAAAATCCATTTGAAAAAAAAAAAAATTTTTTTATAGGATTGGACTTGTCAAAAATTGACGTTTGAAAAAAAAAAAAATTTTTTTATAGGATTGCGATTGGACTTGTCAAAAAATGACGTTTGAAAAAAAAATATTCTTTTTTTAATAAGTTTGGACCCGTCAAAAAATTACGTTTGAAAAAAAATATATTTTTTTTTTAATAAGTTTGGACTTGTCAAAAAATGACATTTGAAAAAAAAAATTCATTTGAAAAAAAATATTTTTTTTTTTGGATTGGACCTGTTAAAAAATGACGTTTGAAAAAAAAAAAAATTTTTTTTTTCATATTATCGGACCTGTCAAAAAAAAAATGATACTTGAAAAAAAAATAAAAAATTTATACGTGTCATTGGACCTGTCAAAAAAAAAAATACATTTAAAAAAAAAAAAATTTATAGGATTGGACCGGTCAAAAAATATGACGTTTGAAAAAAAAAATATTTTTTTTTTAAAAGTTGGACTTGTCAAAAAATGATATGTATTTGAAAAAAAAATAAAAAAATTTTTTCATATTATTGGACCTGTCAAAAAAAAAAAATTCATTTGAAAAAAATTCATTTGAAAAAAATTATTCAAAAAGTTAAAAATAAAAAAAAATCCAGTTTTGACTTTTGACAAAAATATATTTTAGGGAAAAGTTTTTGAGACATTTTTGTGACATTTTTGGAACACTTTTTGTGACGTTCCTGTGACATTCTATCAACATTCGTTCATCATTTAGACGTTTTTGATAGATTCCCCTAATATTGAAAAAAGGTATAAATTTTAGAGAAAAATTTTTGAGACATTTTTGTGACATTCTTGGAACATTATTGTGACGTTCCTGTAACATTATATCAACATTCTTTCACGATTTAAACGTTTTTGACAGATTCTTCTGACATTAAAAAAATTAAAAATTTTATGGAAAATTTTTGTGACATTCTTGGAACAATTTTTGTGATGTTCCTGTGACATTCTATCAACATTCCTTCATTATTTAGGCTTTTTTTGACAGATTTTTTTGACATCAAAAAAAAAAATTAAAATTTATAGAAAAGTTTTTGAGACATTTTTGTGATATTCTTGGAATATTATTGTAACGTTCCTGTAACATTCTGTCAACATTCTTATACCAATTAAACGTTTTTGACAGATTCTTTTGATATTAAAAGAGTTAAAAAATTTATAGAAAAGTTTTTGAGATATTTCTGTGACATTCTTCGAAAATTATTGTAACGTTTCTGTGACATTTTTTATCAACATTTTTTCACAATTTAGACGTTTTTGACAGATTCTTCTAACATTAAAAAAATTAAAAATTTTTTGGAAAATTTTCGTGACATCTTGGAACAATTTTTGTGACGTTCCTGTGATATTTTTTCAACATTCTTTCATCATTTAGACAGAGTCTTCTGACATTAAAAAAAAAAAAACAAAATTTATAGAAAAGTTTTTGAGACATTTTTGTGACATTTTTGAAACATTATTGTGACGTTTCTGTGACATTCTATCAACATTTAGATGTTTTTAATAGACTCTTCTGACATTAATTTTTTTTTTAGATTTTCGTAATTTTTCTATAATTTACTATAATTTCCCGTAATTATTCGTAATTTCCATGATATTTCTTTATTTTCGTAATTTCTGTAGGTTTTTTGTGATTCCTGTAATTTTCCGTGATTTTCGCAGTTTTTCGTAATTTTTTATAATTTCCATATTTTTTTCTGTAATTCCCGTAAGTTTTACAATTTCCGTCATTTTCAAAAACTTACAAAAATTATCGTAATTCTCGTAATTTTACTATAATTTTCGTAATTTCGGTAATTGTTCTATAATTTTCGTAATTCCCGTAATAATTTCGTAATTTCCGTAATATTTCTTTATTTTCACAATTTTTGTAATTTTTTTTGTTTCCTATAATTTTCCATAATTTTCTTAGTTTGTCGTAATTTCCGTATTTTTTGTAATTCCCGTAAACTTTTGCAATCCCCGTTATTTTCAAAAATTTACAAAAATTACCGTAATTCTCGTGATTTTACTATAATTTTCGTAATATTCATAATTTTTCTTTAATTTTCGTAATTCCCGTAACTATTACGTAATTTTTGTAATTTCAGTAGTTTTTTTGTAATTTCTGTAACTTTCCGTGATTTTCGCATTTTTTCGTAATTATTCGTAATGTCCATATTTTTTTTGTAATTATTGTAAAGTTTTACAATTCCCGCCATTTTCGAAAATTTTCAAAAATTTACATAAATCATCATAATTATCGTAATTTTACTATAATTTCCGTAATTTTTCTATAATTTTCGTAATTCCCGTAACTATTTCGTATAATTTCCGTAATATTTCTTTATTTTCGTAATTCCAGTAGTTTTTTTGTAATTCCTGTAATTTTCCGTAATTTTCGCAGTTTTTCGTAATTTCCGTATTTTTTTTGTGATTCCTATAAACTTTAAAAACTCCCGTTATTTTCGAAAATTTTCAAAAATTTACAGAAATTTTCGTAATTCCCGTAATTTTTCTATAATTATCGTAATTTCTATAATTATTGTTCTATAATTTTCGTAATTATTTCTTTATTTTAGTAATTCCTGTAATTTTTTTGTAATTTCTGTAATTTTCGAAGTTTTTCGTAATTTTTTGTAATTTCCATATTTTTTTGGTAATTATCGTAAAGTTTTACAATTCTCATCATTTTCGAAAATTTTCACAAATTTACTTAAATTATCGTAATACTTGTAATATTACTATAATTTCTGTAATTCCCGTAACTATTTCGTAATTTTCGTTATTTTACTATAACTTTCGTAAGTTCTGTAATTTTTCCATTATTTTCGTAATTTCCGTAACTTTTTCGTAATTTCCGTAACTTCTTCGTAATTTCCGTAAAATTTCTTTATTTTCGCAAATTCTGTAGTTTTTTTGTAATTCCTGTAATTTCCCGTAATTTTCGCAGTTTTTCGTAATTTCCATATTTTATTTGTAATTCCCGAAAATTTTTTCAATTCCCGTCATTTTCGAAAATTTTCAAAATTTTACATAAATTATCGTAATTTTCATAATTTTATTATAATTTCCGTAATTTTGTTATAATTTTCGTAGTTCTCGTAATTATTTCGTAATTTTCGTAATATTTCTTTATTATTGTAATTTCAATAGTTTTTTTGTAATTCCTGTAATTTTCTGTAATTTTCGCAGTTTTTCGTAATTTCCGTATTTTTTTTTGTGATTTCCATAAACTTTGAGAATTCCCGTTATTTTCGAAAATTTTCAAAAATTTACAGAAATTATTGTAATTTTCGTAATTTTATTAATAATTTTCGTAATTTCCGTAATTTTGTAATAATTTTCGTAATTCTCGTAATTATTTCTTAGTTTTCGTAATATTTCTTTATTATTGTAATTTCAATAGTGTTTTTTTGTAATTCCTGTAATTTTCGCAGTTTTTCGTAATTTCCGTATTTTTTTTGTGATTCCCATAAACTTTGAAAATTTCCGTTATTTTCGAAAATTTTCAAAATTTTACAGAAATTATCGTAATTTTCGTAATTTTATTAATAATTTTCGTAATTTCCGTAATTTTGTTATAATTTTCGTAATTCTCGTAACTATTTCGTAATTTTCGTAATATTTCTTTATTATTGTAATTTCAATAGTTTTTTTTGTAATTTCTGTAATTTTCGCAGTTTTTCGTAATTACCATATATTTTTTTTAATTCCCGTATAGTTTTATAATCCAAGTCATTTTCGAAAATTTTCAAAAATTTACATAAATTATCGCAAATCTCGTAATTTTACTATAATTTTCATAATTTCCATAATTGTTCTATAATTTCCGTAATCCCCGTAACTATTTCGTAATTTCCATAATATTTCTTTATTTTCGTAATTCCAGTAGTTTTTTTTGTAATTCCTGTAATTTTCCGTAATTTTCGCAGTTTTTCGTAATTTCCGTATTTTTTTTGTGATTCCTATAAACTTTAAAAACTCCCGTTATTTTCGAAAATTTTCAAAAATTTACAGAAATTTTCGTAATTCCCGTAATTTTTCTATAATTATCGTGATTTTACTATAACTTCGTAATTTCTATAATTGTTTTATAATTTTCGTAACTATTTCTTTATTTGCGTAATTCCTGTAATTTTGATTTTAAGGTAATATTGTAATACCGGCCTCGGTTGAAAATTTTTATCCATTACAATAATAATTGCGAATGTGCTCTATAAATTAATTAACGACAAATACTTTTTTCTAAATTATGACGTAAGTAAGTACAAAAAGTGTTAATTTTTGCTTTAGGGGTGCTTAGCACCCCCCTAGTTGCGCCTATGATTGTAACAATATTTCAAAAAATATTACCTTTTCAAATCTTGCTCTAGAATCACTTGTTCAGTTCTAGCTTGCTCCAACTGCATCTGATTCAGTTCAGCTTGGTGCTTCACCGTACCAAGTTGTCCTTCTAGTTCAGCCAACTTAGACCTCAGACAAACGCACTCTTCTTTGACAACTCTTTCGCTGCTTAAAAGTTGCTGATTTTTACTTTTTAAGTCTCCAATTTTTAATAACAAATCACCCTCAAGTTTTTCATAGTTGGCCATTTTCATATTATGCGTAGCTTGTAATGTTTCAAATTGTCTGACCAATGGTTTGCTTACGTCTAAAATAGTCTGAGACAGTTCTTCGTTGCGGGTTTCAGCTTCTTCTAAGCGTCTGAGTAAGTCGGTGTTTTCTAGTTTGAGTTTCTGAGTGTGGAGGGCGCTTTCTTGTTCGGTCTGAGCGAGGCGTTTGCGCAACAAATCCAGCTGCTCGATTACTTCGAGGTTTTGCGACTGCGTCATTTTTTTTTCGTCTTCTAAGTTTTGGAGCAGGAGTTGTTTGCTTTGTAGTTCGGAGCAGCTTTTGGTCTGTTCTTGTAGCTCTTGTTTGGCTGCTTCCAGTGATTTTTTGGTTGTGGAATGTTTTTGGGTTAAATCTTCCAGTTGGCTTTTGGTTTTCAGTAGTTCGGCTTCGAGTTTTTTGTGTTTTTGGGTCAGATTGTGTACGGCTTCGATCTTTGGCTGACAAGGATTTTTTTAGCCTGTCTGTTTCGGTTGTTAGATTTTCGTTAGCTTCCCTGCAAAAGACAAGGACAATTAAAGGATTAATAATTGATTATTCTTGGCGCTTGAATGTCCAAGAATTTGGAAATATGTATAAAGAAACAGTGATATAAGAAATTCAGTAAATAATGTTATGACGCATCCGCCAGCCTGTCAAGAATCCTAGAAATTGTACATTCCTATAATCTAAAATCACCCCACTGAAAATTAATGAAAATCAACTAAATTAGGCATAAATGTACCGTCCAACATTTTAGTTTTCTTTTGGAAAACTATTCAGGGGAAAATTATGAAATTTTCTAGAAAAAAAAAGAAAAATCAGGGGCGTATCATACTTAAATTTCAAATTTTTCAAATAAGAAATAAACCTATTGGAAATTAATGAAAATCTACTTAATTAGCCATAAATGCACTATTTAATATTTTATTTTTATTCTGGAAAACTATCCAAAGGAAAATTATGAAATTTTCTGAGAAAACGAAAAAAGTCAGGGGCGTATTATACTAAAATTTCAAATTTTTCCAGTGAAAAATAACCCCATTGGAAATTAATGACAATCAACTAAATTAGTCATAAATGCACCATTTAATATTTTATTTTTTTTCTGGAAAACTATCCAAAGGAAAGTTATAAAATTTTCTGGACAAAATGCGAAAAGTCAGAGGCGTATCATAGTAAAATTTTAAATTTTTCCAGTGGAAAATAACCCCATTAAAAATTAATGAAAATCAACTAAATTAGATATAAATGCACTATCTAACATTTTATTTTTTTTCTGGAAAATTATTTAAGGAAAAATTATGACATTTTTTGGGAAAAAAGAAGAAAATCAGGGGCGTATCATAGTAAAATTTCAGATTTTTTTCAGTAGAAAATAACACCATTGGAAATTAATTAAATCAATTAAATTAGGCATAAATGCATCACTTAACATTTTATTATTTTTTTGGAAAACTGTCCAGGAGAAACTTATGACATTTTCTGGAAAAAAATAAGAAAGTCAGGGGCGTATTATAGTAAAATTTCAAATTTTTCCAGTGGAAAATAACCTCATTGGAAATTAATGAAAATTAACTAAATTAGGCATAAATGCACTATTTAATTTTTTTTTTCTGGAAAATTATTCAAGGAAAATTTATGACATTTTCTGGAAAAAAAGACAAAAGTCAGGGGCGCATCACAATAAAATATTAAATTTTTCTCGGAAAAAACAACAAAATTAAAAATAATTTTAAAAATTAAATAGGGGTGCGTTTGTCAACATCTTTTTTAGCAGAGATGGGTTTAGACTGGTTTTTTTGGAAAAAACCCTAAAAACCCTTTGGAAAGAAATGGTTTTTTCGAATAACCGTATTTCAAAAAACCGGGTTCATTGAAACAACCCGGTGTATTCAAATTTTGGGTTTAAATCCTGATTATTCTTAAAAAACCCAATAAACCCAAGTTTTTAATTTTTTGTTTCTCTAGGAATACTTTTAAACCAAATCAAACTTTTAAATGATAATTATAAGGATAAATAATAACAGCTGTATGCAATCCTCTTTTAGCTTAAAGGCGCTTTTTAAAACTGGTCACTTTTAAAAATGTATATTCTAATACATACAAATTTTTAAATGGTACCAGTTTTAAAAAGCGCTTTTAAGTTAAAAGAGGCTGTTGCATACAGCTGTAAGTGTTTTAATATTTTTAAATAAACTGAATAAAAAAAACGAAAAAATAAACTCGATACAAAAGAAAACAAAACATAAAACTACTACAAGTCACCTTAATCCGTGTTCGTTGGGAGTAGTTTTTAGTAGGTTTAGAGCAAGATTTCAATGAACTTTTGTAGCAACACGAGCGAAAGTGTAGCAACAAGTCGTTTTGGGGGTAGTTTTTTTAGTGGGTAAGATTTTATGTCACAACACTTGTTATATGAAAATGTATTGAATTCGTTTGTAGCAACATTTGGTAAAAAAAATTTAGTTTCCCGTTGGGTTTGGAATTCGAATTTTACATTTTCCCGGCTTTTGATTGGTTTGGGAATTTGAATTTTGATTATTCCCGGCTTTTGAATGGTTTAGAAATTCAATTTTTAATCATTCCTGGGTCTTGGTTAGCTTAGAAATTCAAATTTTGAATATTCCCAGCTCTTGATTGGCTTCCAAAGTTAATTTTTGAATGTTCCCGGCTCTTGATTGGGTTTAAAATTCAAATTTTAAACATTCCCGGCTCATGATTGGTTTAGAAACTGAATTTTTGATTTTTCCCGGCTCTTGATTGGCTTCAAAGTTTAAATTTTTCCTGCTCTTGATTGGGTTTAAAATTCAATTTTTAATTATTCCTGGCTCTTCATTGGGTTAAAAATCGAATTTTTGATCATTCTCGGCTCTTTAAAAACTGACTTTGGAACCCAATCAAGAGCCGGGAATATTAAAAATTTAAATTTTTAAGCCAATCAAGAGCTGGGAATAATCAAATATTTAATTTTGAAACGTCAAATCAAGCCAATCCAGAGCCGAGAATATTTAAAAATTGATTTTTTCAATTTTCCTGGCTTCTGATTGGCTCTAAATTTCAGTTTTAAAACATTCCCGGGTTCTGATTGGTTGGAATTTTCAAAATTCCCGCCTCTCAAACAGATTATTTTTTTATTCAAGAGCCGGGAATAAAAAAACAATGCATCGAATATTCGAAATTTTGCCGCCAAAAATAATGCCAACATTAAAAAAAAAAAAAAATTGCAGGTGCCGTGAGAATGACACATGTGACAACCGTAAAGGCATGTTTACATTTAAATTGCAATTGATTAAAATTGAATATAAAAAGGGGAGTCAAGTTTATTAATGTTATGCCCACGTCGCCATCTTAAATAGATTTTCATTCAAGAACCGAGAATAGGAAAAAAATTGAATTTCCCGCTTCAAATAATAATAATGACAAGTGACATTTAACACATGGCTTCTGTCTCGTGTCAAACAAATTAAAATACGTTAGGTAAATAATTGTGACGTCATTAATTAAACGTGTCATCGAACGACATTTGACGCATCGTGTGTCAAATTTGAACTTTGACAAGCAAAAAGTAGACGATTAATTTCAAAACTGCCTTTAGATGCGGTAAGTGACAGATGGCATTTGACACATACGTTCTAATTTGACGTCCAAAATAATTTGACACATGAAGTGGTAACGTCAAATTTGACATGTCAAAAATATTATATTCAAACAATCACGTTAATTAATTAAGAGTAACATGGCAAAGTATTGAGAGAACAACTTATAAATTTGACAGGTGACATCTGTCAAAAAAAAAAAAAAAATTTTTTTAGCACCTGCAATCAAATCGAAATGCATTTTTCTGACGGGTGGAGGCCCAAAGCAAAAATGTCAACCCTAGCGCAATTTGACGTTTCATAATTTTTGACAATTAATTCAAAATGGCTAAATTGTTTTTCAAGGCCTATCTATTTGGTTTTATAAATCTTTCGTTTACAGTTATCTGCATTACCGACAGGATTATTTATTTATTTTTTGACAAATAATCCTCTGTCGCTTGTCAAAAATATGATATTTGATTTTGATGTTTAACAGTGTTGTCTTGAAATTTGCAAGGCCTACTTGGGCTTTTTTTTTTTTTTAATTTTCAATGATTGACACAATGTTTGTTGTTAGTTGGCAACACTGTCACTGATCATCACTGTCAGAGTCGGTAGAGTGTGACAAGCATGTGTGCGCTTTAACTGGGCGCTGATTTATGAGTTGTCAGCAGTTATGGAACGGATTTATGCTAGAAAGATGAGCCTACGTTACTGATTTTTAATTTTAAAATTTCAAAATTGTCAACTCTGGAATTACTTAGTTCTCTACCAAGCCTAGTTGGATTTGCACAAAGGCTGAGCAATGTCATATTGACGTTTGACAAATCAATTACTATGTTTGACAAAAAATAAATTAAAAATACTCCAATGACATTTGCAGGCAAATTTGTATCTTTTTTTTTTTTATCGTCCCTCATGAGTCAGCAGTGGCGGCTCTTCAAACATTATTTTGTAAAAAATTCAATTGACAATTATTGTCATACGCAACTGTCAAGTGTTTTTGACGTATTGAGGGTCTAATGCGACAATGACACATAATTGTTGAAGTATGTCACTTTTGATTAATCGTCTATTTTGATGTTGTATTGAATTTCATTTGTCATTTACCGCAACTGTCAAAGTCTTAATTATTGATGGCCTATACTTTTTACTTCGAAATCATTGTTTGTTTTTGACGTATAAATTCTTATAGAAATGGACGATGTATTCAATGACGTCATTTGTTTGTTACAATTATTTACTTCTATCGTTTGACAGAGACGGGCAATGTGTCAAACGTCATTTGTCATATTATTATTTGAAACAAAAAATTCATTTTTTTTTCTTCTATTCCCGGCTCTACTTTCCAAGCAATTGAGCCTCAAAGTTCAATTTAAGTCAAAAAAATGTCAAAAAATAATATCATTGACAACATTTCATTTTTATAAACGACTTTTGACAGATGACATTCATTGTCCGTTACGTCATATATTAATTATATATAACTTTTGACAGTTGAAGTTGACGTGTCTCGTATTACTAGAAGAAACAAATAGATAGAAATTTGACAGTTACGCATACAGTAAAAATGTCATTTAGGCCCTTACCGGCGTGCGCATCTATTATCTATTCACAATCTGTAGTTAAAAGGTACAGATAAAATTTATCACCTTTCAATACTATTAGATAGGGAAAGGTGATAAATTTACCTGTACCTTTGGACTACAGATTGTGAATAAAATATATGTTCTCTTCCAGTTCATCTCAATACTTTTAACCATATGCACTGTCTCTTTCTATATACGAGACACATCTATCTTTTAAATAAAGCAAATTTTAAAAGAAAAAAATTAATTTTCATCTCTTTCTTATACGAGCTAATAGAAAAAGACAGAAATACACTGCGCGCTAACCCTCATGTAATTTTTTTTTTCTATAAATTAGACATAAATGC